TGACAGGGGAGGGGGCGGGGGGCCGGGGTCTCCACTTGACCAGCCCCAGCCCCTAGCGAGTAGCAGCGGTCAGTTTTGTTGAATATATAAACCAGGAGGGACATATCATCTTCAGTTCAAATACAACATTTTATATCACAACAACAAGGAAAAATGGTGACTTTTCTTAAAAAAGACGATCTTTGGGATCCTATCTTCCGTCTTATCCAGGTAGTGTTAGTTATCATTGTAAAAATTGTTCAAAGTTGTTTACATAGATTCACAAAGTTGTTCTTGAAACCTTTATCTGATCAATAATGTTAAATATATCTTCGTTTTTCTAGCTTAAAAGTGTTAAGTTTTCTACAAAATCCTCAATATTTTTAGCAGAAATTTGCAAATTCCCATGCCATTCTATAAAAGAAGGGCCACAGGAAATTACGTCCAGTCTCTAAAGAGTTACAAATACCCTTTACAATGAGGAAATTATCGTCAATTAAGTAGAGAAGCCGCAAGTTCTATTTTAACAGTTTATTTATCAGGAGTTGTCTGACAGCTACGAGACTGGAGAGGAGGATGTTTACACTGCTGATCTTAGTACTCTTCCTACAGAGCTGGGGGGACCTTGGTTCAACGCCACCAGCACCAAGAACAACATCACGGTGGAAGAGGACAACCACATCGAGGAGTGTATCGAGGCCTTGGAGCTCGAGTCGTCCTTGCTAGAGCCTATCAAGGTCGAGAACTTTCTTCAACCTGTAGATGCTGTTGATGCTTCTAATATTGAAGTGATCAACGGAGAGGAAACTGCAGCAGCTAAAGATCAGGAGAAGAGCAGCAAACCTGCTCCCAGCAGTAGTCGGCAGCGTGGTTCCAGGAGGCAGAAAGGACAGCTGTACGAGACTGTGAACAGGAACGGACTGTACTACCAGCTGTTAAATCAGAGGACCAGGAACATGATCTCAGGGGATTTGGAAGACTTCACCAGATCAAGAAAGACAAAAAAATAAATGTTCAGTGTTTTTGTAAATACTGTAAATAGTCTTAAATTTTGTGTGAATAGCTCCCATAGAAAATTAATAAATTACAAAAAAATTAATTTTGCCTGAAAAATTAAAAAGCTTTAAGTAACTTGTAAAATGTGTTAAAAAAATTTTTTAAAATAAGAAAGATACGAAAATGTTTAGCGTTTTTGTAAAGCATTATATTTTCCTAAATATTTTGAAAAAAAATATAAACATTTGGGCTCAAGCGTCGTGTCGAGTGTCGAGTAACTTGCAATTCGAAAAAGCAACGTTATTTAAAAACAATATTTTATCAGAAAGAAACTGAAAGAGATGAATTTTTCTGTGTTATGATAATATTTTCTTTAAGAAATTATCAAAAATTCGTTTTGTTATGCAAACTAAAAGGCTAATTTCAGGAGAAGTCGGTAACTATCACAAAAACAAGAATGACCAAAGACCGGGGGGGATGNGGGGGGGGGGGCAGAAACCGTCTCCCCCTCTTGTTGAAGAACACCATGTTTTATATATAAAATATATATTGTTACTTTCCTGTACCGTACCTTCGTGTAGCGCGTGGAAGTGATCAATTTCATGTACAAGTGTCCAAGCTGAACAGTTTTACTATTTCAAACATTGAAATACTTTGAAATGTTCAAACTTAAAATATTACTAAGTCCGTGTGAATCTGTTTCAATGAATTACGATAATTGTTTTGTTTAAAACATTGGTGAAAATAAAAATATTAAAAAAAGAATTAACATCAAATCAAATGTTGCATTTAGTCCAGAACATTTTTCTATTGTTCGTTTCATTATGACGTTACACACTGTCGGTGGTTACTGCAGTACTCTCACCGAATGAATTCTAGGTTTTAGTGGAGAGTAGATGAGGATATTTAACTTCTGGTGGGAGAGGAGTAAAAAAATACTCCCCGCCCCCAAATTTTTCAAAACCCAAACAATAAATGTATCCTTTCTATGGGTTTAAACTCTATATTTTATCTTAAAATGTAAAACTATGATTCCCTGAAGTGTTGAATATTCGTATTTTGTTATCATAACTTCCAACTGCAAACAGTTCCCCATTTTTAGTAAACCTAAAAAATCAAATTGTAACAAAAGAATTTAAAACATCCTATGCTCTTACAAACTACCTAGCCTGTTTGCCCCCCTGTTACAAAATAAATTACTTAGCTTTTCCAGCTAAAATATATACTACCTAGCTTGTTTGACCCCCAGCTATTTTATAAACTACCTAGCTTGTTTGACCCCCAGCTAAAATATATACTACCTAGCTTGTTTGACCCCCACCTGTTAAATAAACTACCTAGCTTGTTTGAGCCCCAGTTATTATATAAACTACCTAACTTGTTTGACCCCCGGCTTTTATATAAACTACCTAGCTTGTTTGACCTCCAGCTATTATATAAACTACCTAGCTTGTTTGAGCCCCAGCTATTATATAAACTACCTAACTTGTTTGACCCCCAGCTATTATATAAACTACCTAACTTGTTTGATCCCCCAGATATTATATAAACTACCTAGCTTGTTTGAACCCCAGCTATTATATAAACTACCTAGCTTGTTTGACCCCCAGCTATTTTATAAACTACCTAGCTTGTTTGACCCCCAGCTATTATATAAACTACCTAGCTTGTTTAACCCCCAGCTACTATATAAACTACCTAGCTTGTTTGACTCCCAGCTGATGTTGATAAGCTGAATAGTCAAGTTGAAGTCTCCCGTCAACACTGTAAACCTACGAATATAAATCAATTATGGAATTCAAGAAAAACGAAATATTCCCAAAACCAATTGTTTTCAAAGTTAAAATGTTTTAAGGAGAAACAAAACCGAACACAACATCTATATATTAATTTAGCTTGTCTATCTGTATGTTTCTACCAATAAACGTCAAAACGGCTGAACCGATCGGGCCCAAATTTTGAGTGGGACCTCAAGTGACCCCAGGGAAGGTTTATGAATGATCAAAATTATTTAATTTGTGTTAAAAAGTTTTTTATTTTTATAAAATTTTAAAATGCACGATATAAAAATATGAAATCCGCAAACTTTTTTTGTTTTTGTTTTATACTGTACAAAGAGAAGATGCTCACAGATAAAGCCACTTTTAAAAGTTGAAAAAGAAGATGGACGCGAAGCGTCCTAAAAACCTAGTTTTTGTAAAAACATGGTTGGACTGAATAGGTTTTTCTAAGTCTCCCTGTTAAAAATTAAAGTCAGGTTCTTATTATTTGATCCGGGGCTTCCATATTTAAACACAAATTGAATTTCTAAAATACTACCTGTATCCTGTAGTTCAGTGGTGTATCCCATATTACAAAACTGAAAAAATATATTTTAAAAATTAATTGGTTCCTGGATCCGGATCCGCACAAATATAAATATCAACTGTTAACTATAAGGAGAGATTAATAAAAACGTTCTAATCTATTAAAGTTTCAGCATGAAAATAAGCAAAAAAAAGATTTTTCCCTTTCAATTTTTCAATTGTTTAAATTGACCAATACATCTTGAAGACATGTTCAGAACCTGGGTTCAGATCCGGTATAGGATCCAGATCCATCATTTCCCGGGCGGATCCTGGATCCAGATCAAAATCAAAATAAAATGGATCCCAAGCAATTGCAAAATCAATGGCGACAATTTATAAACATAAATAACGGAGAGAACAATCATTTCAATTTTTCAATTGTTTAAATTGACCAATACATCTTGAAGACATGTTCAGAACCTGGGTTCGGATCCGGTATAGGATCCAGATCCATCATTTCCCGGGCGGATCCTGGATCCAGATCCGCATCAAAATAAAATGGATCCCAAGCAATTGCAAAATCAATGGCGACAATTTATAAACATAAATAACGGAGAGAACAATCATTCCAATATTCCAATATCCAAAATGTGCATAAACAGACAGACAAATAGACTGACAGACAAATAATTAACTGACTAGAAGCTACTATCTTGTAGGATATAAGAAACTAGAGTTATATTACTTAGCTAAAATTTACTAAAGGGGCCGGGAGGGGGGTTGTTCAAATATAAAAATAAATTCATGAATTGAATAATTTTCAAGATTCCAATGAAGTATTACAAAGTTCTAGTTGACACTGCAAACTTAACTAAACTATTCTTGATACAAAGATAAAGAAGTAGAAAGATAGATAGATAGATAGAATACCAGAAGGATAGATAGATAGATAGATAGAATACTAGATAGATAAATAGATAGTGAGATAGATTAAACACTAGAAGGATAGATAGACAGATAGAATACTAAAAGGGATAGATAGATTGATAAAATAATCATGAATAATAAAAATACACCATAGATTAGATAGATAGAAAATGCTAGAAAGACAATAATAAATAGGAAAAGGTCATTCCGCCCCCCCCTGTATCCGCTCCTGATTATATATAGATAGGCAGATATACAGATAAGTAGATAGGTAGAAAATGCTGTTTTGGATAAGCAGATATACAGATAAGTAGATAGGTAGAAAATGCTTTTTAGGATAAGCAGATATAAAGATTCAGACGAAACTCTTACAGATTACAGCTTTCTCAGTAGGTATCACTATACTAAATCAAAGAATTATTGAATTATTTGTAAAGACGATATCGAATTCGTCACTGAATTCCCATGTTTTTTGGGACACCCTGTAGATAAATAAATAGTAAACAAAAATGTACTTATTAATATATTTCTAAAGATAAGGAACCTGATTTTCTTCTTGTCATTTTAAAGATTAAAAAATATATTTGAGAGCGTCTTTCGAAATTTGTCTATCTAAATAAATGTTGCTGGGGTGTTTAATCCAATAAACATCTTAACGATTAAACGATTGAATTTGGGACCGCACATCTTATAGAAGGTAAGGCTGGCCAAAATAAAGACAAAATAAAAAAAAAATTTAAAAAAAGAATTTCGATTTTAAAAATCTTGGTATGGAAACAAGAAAATCTGCAACAAAAAATAGGTTTTTGAAGTAGAAAGAAAAATTGGTGTCATGGAAAGCAACAAACAAAAGCATAAAATTTTTTTTAAATGGGACACAAAGGCACCCCCAAAATCTTAGAATAAAAATATGAATTTCTATTTGCTATGCCTGCTAGCTTGTTGGTATCCAATAAACATCTAAATGATTAAATTAATCAGGAAAATTTTTTTGAAGGACCGCAAATCATTTTAGAGACGGAATATGGCCGGCAAGGATTTCAAAAGTTAGAAATCTAAGGTTGCAACAGCAAAATCTGCAAAAAAGCTATTTTTTTTTTCTCTGGTAGAATTGGAGACAATGATGAATTTAGGGTGTAAAAAGAAAGGGTGAAAAATCATGTCCAATTTTTCATTGCCGGGGGCCCATCCCATAGATCAAAACACATTACTTCACAAAATTGTATAAATTCCCCTGTAGTATCAGTATTGATTATACCAACGAGGTTATAGTGTATAGAGTGTAAATGTATAGGCAAGAGCGTACTTCATATTTGATCATTATACTGTATGTTAGGCCTTCTGTCATTTACTAGTGAACAGCTGTTAGTGTAAAGTCCAGCTAAAAAGGCTGGCAGGCAGACAACTATCCACCCCCTCCCCATGTTTAGTGTCTATTACCTGTCCTCTGATGGATTCCAGATAATACCATTTAAATCCTCAGTATCTACTTCTATCTGCCTTACCAGGCTCCAGTCGTCTAATTATGTACAAGGTCATGCACAAAGTTATAAGATCATATACATGATTATGTGCAAGATCATTTACAAGATCATGTACAAGGTCATGTACAAGGTCATGCACAAGGTCATATAAAAAGTCGTGTACAAGGTCATGTACAAAGTCATGTACAAGGTCATGTACAAGGTCATATACAAGGTCATGTACAAGGTCATGTACAAGGTCATGTACAAGGTCATGTACAAGGTCATGTACAAGGTCACGTACAAGATAATGTACAAGATCATGTAGACGGTCATGTAGAATGTCATGTACGAGGTCATGTGTACGTGGTGATGTACGTGGTAATACAAGGTCATGTACATGGTAATGTACAGGATCATGTATAAGGTTCAGCAATAGGTCATCGTCGTTTTCATGGTCATGGTCATGGTCATGGTCATGGTCATGGTCATGGTTGCAGTCATAATTCATGGTCAAGGATAATATAATTTAAACATATTTTCTCAAAATAAAAATAAATGAATATCATAATTAATTATTATTTGAGTATAGCACTTAATGGTTAGTATTGAATACCTGTAGTTAAAATATTAATTAGATCTCTACAACCAGCTCTCTCCCCCACTAATCCAAAACTTTTATCCTATTAAGAGAGTGCACATGAATTCTAAAACGGAGGTTTATGGATGATTGAACTTTAAAAATTTTGCCTCTAACAAAATTCGTTTTCTTTAATTTTAAAAATCCACTAAATTTATTAATAAAATCCACGAAATTTATTAATAAAATCCACGAAATTTTGTTGTTGTTTTTGTTTTACAATTGTATCCAAAAAGAACTATGTTCACAATTTAAATAGAAGATGAGTGCGAAGCACCCTAAAAGTCTAGTTATAATAAATTCTCTGTGACGAAACAACAGATTTTATCAAAAAGTAGTAACATCGGATGATAAACAAAGATGCTGATCGTCAGAATCAGAGTTTTCCCATTTCAACCATTTTACCCAACGGTAAGTCAAGAACTTTTGAAAAAACGCGTGCCATGAAGGATTCACAACGTTACTTTGAGAATCCAGTAATATCTGCATTTGTCGTGGAAAAAATCTATCTAAGAAAACAACCCATGGATTTCTACTTCAATTGTGGTTTCTCAACAGAAGTAACTTGCATATTTATACTGCAGAAAATCATGAAGGAATTATCAGAATTAAAATTAGAAAAACTACCATATCCTCCACATTATTAATCAGATAAAGGTTTCAAGGATATCGTTGTGAACGGGCGTTGCCATCTTTGCATTAAAGGGTTGAACTCACGCTTCCCTAAGAGAAGTTTTTATCAGATATTAAAAATATAAAAAATATAATGAATAAACAATAAATTGTTAAGTGCAAAGACGGTTTAAAATGTTTATTGTGTTTAATTTTAGTTTTTTTTTTCTTGCAGATATGTTTATTTTGTGTTAATATGCTAACCATTACAGAGAATTTCTCTCAAAATCAGCTTAAAGTATCAGCGTTGATTCAACATATTTAAGTTACAAAACGGAAAGGTGTACAGGGTGATTTTTTAATGTCGATTTTTTTTGCATCGTGCTTAATCGGATGAAAAATCCGTAATATTAAATGTTAAGAAAATCTCCCAATTACATACAGTTACTGTCTAACATTTAATTAATCCCGAAGTAATAATGGCTAAATCCAGAAAAAAATATTACATTAACAAGGCTCTCTTAAACAGGATAAACAGTGTAAAAACTACGAAATATTTCTCTATTTTTGCCCTTAAATAATTTTTTCAAAAAATTTGAAGGACCCTAGATCTGTGAAGAGATCTTGTAGAATACGATTCCAGCTTTTAAATATTAAATTCTTCCTCCATGTGATGGAAAAAAGTCAAATTGTTGAAAAATACCAGGCTCTAAGTTTGTAAGTTGTAAGCCTCCTTAAGCAGCAGCACATAAAGATTAACAATGCTGTAGATAATCAATTTATGTATCAAATGTCATGTAATAACGAGTTAATAAATATTAAAATTATTATTTTGTTGTACCTTGTTTTGCTTTGGTAAACACTGAACATATAAAAAATCAACTTTTAAAATCAGCCTGTACAATGTGAATAACACGCTATACAATAAACATATTTTTTTCTCTCCTAAAAATCCCTTCTACCCCCTCTTAAAACTATGATTTAACATAAATGTGTGAAGTAGAAAAATGGTAAAAATCAATATATTCTACTTTGATATTCAGTGTCCAAATTTAATGAATTGAAGCTGCGTCTCAAATCCCCCAAATACCGGTTTAATTGAGCGGCGGCTTAAATCTTAAATAATTGAATATATTTTTAAGTGGAATCAATCATATTTGAGCTGTTGCTTAAATTTAAGCCGCGGCTCAAATACTTTAAATTCGTCCTCGCATATTTTAATATTAAAAGCTAATTTTGATTTTCAAATAAGAATCTTTTAAAATTTTTAACCCCGCTTACCTCACGCACAGAAGGTTGTAATTTTTCTATATGCTTTCGTAACAAAATATTGAAGACGACATATGAAATTATTTATAAAATATCTGACCTGAAGTTGTAATTATGTGCCTAGAGTCCTGAGACCATTCTACTTTAAGTATCCCTCCCATTCCCTCATATATTCTACAAACAAGAATTAGCCTAATAAAATATAAAATTTAAATCTAAAGATTTGTTTTAGTAAAATGCATTTTTCTAGAAATTAGGCGACTCTACACTCTACACTCCTACACAACTACACTAGACACTCTACCCTCCTACACTCCTACACTCCTACACTCCTACACTCCTACACTCCTCCCTTAACCCTCTACACGCTACACGCTACATCTCTACATCTCTACATCTCTACATCTCTACATCTCTACATCTCTACATCTCTACATCTCTACATCTCTACATCTCTACATCCCTACATCCCTACATCCCTACATCCCTACATCCCTACATCTCTACATCTCTACATCTCTACATCTCTACATCTCTACATCTCTACATCTCTACATCTCTACATCTCTACATCTCTACATCTCTACATCTCTACATCTCTACATCTCTACATCTCTACATCTCTACATCTCTACATCTCTACATCTCTACACTCTACACTCTACACTCTCCAGAGCTGCAACATTATCAAAGTGAAAAAAATAAATCACTTTAGGATTGAGAAACAATGTCTTAAAGACTGTCTTTGCTTTATTTTGCGCACCAAAGCCTGGCATACTAACATAATATTTAACTATATGTAACACTAAAACTTTTTACATTTTCTATCTTTCCAATTCATTTATAATATATCAAGTTTTTCTCTAATTACCTTCCGCTCCATTCCGGGGAGTTAATGGAAAATAGATGAACAACTCCACCACTGTAATAAACATTAAACAACATTAAAAGTTTTTATTAAAATAATTGAAGTCATAACTTTGTATTGTGAATCTCGGGATGAAGCATCTAGTATAAAGTAGAACAAATATTCTCACCTGTAGTTAGCTGCTAGTATAAAGTTACTATCTGGACTAAACTCAATATAATCAATACATTCCTAAAATAAATATCAATCAATCAATCAATTCAGTCAATCAATTAATCAATCAATCAATTATCAATCACAATTTTCCCCGTGTCTTATGTTTTTTTTTGCATCCAATGAACTTCAATCGCGGACTAAAACTTTCTATGTGAATTATGGCCATCTCGATTAAAAATGTCTCTTCCATAAAAGTGTGTGAATTCTTAAAAAAACACCAATATAAACAGGAAAGTTGCTAAATTTTGTTTTGCCTTTTTTAAAGTTTTGATTAACCCCGGGAATCCTGACGAAGTATATAACAAAATTTCTGATTTCTTAAATAACATTCATGAGGTTACATTTATATACATAAAGTTATGATCTGTTTGTTTGTCCGATCATAACTCAGGAACCCCTGGACCGATTTTCCTCAAATTTTGGTTGGATAACTCGGGAGAACCTTGGGAATGTTCTTAGATTGGTTTTAAGATTCTGAGTTCGTAATTTAAGACCAAGTTCGGGTAAATGGCGGGAGCAACTATGAGTACCCATACATCACATTTATATGCAGATAATGTTAACATCAATAAAAACGAATATTGAGTTCATCAAATTAAAAAAAAAGACTTTTTCCTTTGGACGATTTTTTTACTTTGTTGTTTTTTGACATTTTTTTGGCCTTTCTTTCCTTTTGTTTTCTTTTTTCTTTTTTGCTCTTTTTGTCCCAATAGCAGAAAATAGAAGAGATGAGAATTTTTAACATAATTTGATAATCATTATATAAATTAGTTTAATAAGGTGCAACGGGGAGTTTAGCTCGCAGATTAAATTATTACCATAAAAAATTATAAATTAAATAATACCTTAGAAGTAAATACTTCCAGTACTTCTATACTTGCAGCATCCCATATACTTGTTCTAAATATTAATTTTGCATCATGCTGTAAAATAAATCTTGAACTTTTTAGAACCAATTTTTTAATACATACACTCGGAGTACACAGTTTTATTGAAAGTGATTCTAAGTAGACAAGGAGGACCGGTCATAGGCAATTTCGTCACTTCATGTTTGTTGTTTAAATAAAACATCTTGAAGTTAACTTTTCAATAAACTGTTTCGTGGATTTTTTATTCACTTAAAGTGAACTTGCACACGCGTCTAAACCTCAAATTTTCTTTTCCTTATATCTTTGCATATTGGTTCTCTGCTAAATCTAATAGTTAAACATTGAAATATCAAGGTGTACACTGTACACCATAAGAATGTATGGATACGAAGATTAGAAGATCAGAATTTGAGTTTAATTCCTAAGAGGTTTTAGAGGAACAATATTGCAGTTCGCTAGAACTCCACTCTGCAGTACAGTTGACTATCTGCAGTACAGTAGACTATCTGCAGTACAGTAGACTATCAGCAGTACAGTAGACTATCTGCAATACAGTAGAATATCTGCAATACAGTAGACTATCTGCAGTACAGTAGACTATCTGCATTACAGTGTACTATCTGCAATACAGTAGACTATCAACAGTACAGTAGACTATCTGCAGTACAGTAGACTATCTGCATCACAGTAGACTATTTGCAGTACAGTAGACTATCTGCAGTACAGTAGACTATCTGCATTACAGTAGACTATCTGCAGTACAGTAGACTATCTGCATTACAGTAGACTATCTGCAGTACAGAAGACTATCAACAGTACAGTAGACTATCAACAGTACAGTAAACTATCTGAAGTACAGTAGACTAACTGAACTACAGTAGACTATCTGCAGTACATTAGACCATCTGCAGTACACTTACCTAGTACCACATGAAGATGCAAGCAGATGTCCACAATCTGACCATTTTAACTAAATACATTTTGAAATTTTATAAAATTTTTAAAAATTGGTAAATATTAAAAACAATAATAATGTTTATTCCCCCGCCCCCCACCGGCCTCTCCTTTATCCTCGGTTAAAAAGTGTTTAACTTAAAAAAATCAGACATAATAAATTTAACAAATAATCAATCAATCAATCAATCAATCAATCAATCAAACAAACAAACAATCGGTCAATCAATCATTCCGTAGAAGTCAGGGCTGATCCTTCGTCCAAAGAGAAAAACATTCGTAAATACGATTAAAATATTAATGTTTCAATTGGATGCGACTCATGTCTAGTGTCTAGTACTGACAAATGACTACTAGTCAGTAGTCAAATTAAATCAAATCAGACTCTAAGGGACGCTCTGCGACCACATAACAAATCTTGAAATGACTAATTCTTAAACTACTATTTCGGGTTAAGAAAATTTCCGGACTAGAACAGGTTAAGCCTAAAGAGAGGGAGCCAAGCGCTGTGGCAAGGACAAAATAATACTTTTATAATATTCTCCATGATTTTTTATATTACACACACACACAAAATTTGTAAACCGGTTTTTAAATTGATTTTTTTACCTGACTATTCTGCAGTTTAATAGGTTCCGAAAAATTCATTTTTCTGAAGAAAAAAAAATACAAAATAAGGTACTTTTTGAGAGAAATCATGTACACAGCTCACACCTTTATCAAATACTGTACATAATAGCATGGAATGTACAACTGTAAGTATTTAAAAAAAACACTTAAGTAAATATACAATTTAGTTATTGGGTGAGCTGAGAGCGGTGTACATAAGTCTGTGTACATGGATCATGAATATGTACACTAGAAGGCCAGTTTCTTCATGAGTAGATAAACCGTCTGATCCATCTCAAACCCGTGCAGATTATTCGCATCTCCCTAAACAGAATTCAAATATTCTAAAGGGACTGTAAGCATAAGATTTCAGCGTTTTTAAAGGTTTAATTTTGATAATTCCTAATTGTTTCCTGCAGAAGAAATGCGCACGTCAATCATAGTATAGAAACCTTATTTGAAAAAGTCAGTTTTAAAAATGATAAAAAAAACTGACATCTCATTCATAGCTTTTCCCATTGTGAATCGGGCATTGCCATGTTTGCATGGAGGTTTAATAACGCTTACAGTCCCTTTGGTATACAGTATGGCACATCAACCTGTGTATAAGGAAGACGACATTTGAACAATCTTCAGTATACTTGATGTTATCAAGCAAATAGTTAAAACATAAGGTTACCTGTAGTCTCATGAGTAAACCTCCGTAGGAAACATATGCTGCTAATCTTCCAGTTCCCTCTTGCACATTATCATCCCCTTCAATCCTTAATAAATGAATAAATGAATAAATGAATAAATGAATAAATGAATAAATGAATAAATGAATAAATGAATAAATGAATAAATGAATAAATGAATAAACAAACAAATGAATAAATGAATAAATGAATAAATGAATAAATGAATAATCCAATGAATGATTTAATGAATAAATGAATTAATGAATAATGGAATGAATAAATAAATAAATTAATAAATAAAAAAGTAAATGAATCAATCACATGAACAAATGAATAAATAAATAGATTGGAAATAGTCAAATAAATGAATAAATATTTAAATTAATGATTAAAAGATTAAAAGGACTGAACAAATGAAACAAATGAATTAATCAAACAAAAGAAATGAATAAATATTAAAATTGATGAATAAATTGATGAATGACAAGAGAAATAATGAGGAATGAGAAATGAGAAATGAGTAAATAAAATGAATAAATCTATAAAAATGTAGAAATGCTAACCTGTATATTTTACCAAACATTACATACTCGAAACTATCTGCTCGACTTGGACCAGAGTCCAGGGGGGACCAGTCACTCTGATCTGCAAACCCATCCTCTCTACAAATATAGATAAGATAGATAGATAGATGGATAAATAGATAGATAGATATCTATCTATCTAAGACTTGAGGCTAAGACGAGTCTAAACTTATCTCCGAGATCTACCGGATATATAGATAGATATAGATAGATAGATAGAAATAGAAAGATAGATAGATAGATAGAGTTGATATATACCTAAGACTTGAGGCTAAGACGAGTCTAAACTTATCTCCAAGATCTACCGGATATATCCAGGTATTCACATCCAGGATTAAATCCATCTACAATACAATCTTATCCTCAACACTAGAATTATTGAAAGGTTAAAGGGACCGAGGACGTAAATTTGTAATTTGTAAAATTAATTGCGAATTTGATGCAGATTTTCTTGGTTGTAAATTAAATTGCGATTGCTTTTGTAACATTGACATGCGTAGTTATGTTCAATACATAAGAAACAAGAAAAAGGAAATTGAAAGATTTGATCTAGTCTGAAGACTTCTTCTCGTTGTTATTCAGAAAAACGGTAATCTTGTTAACTGTAAGGATTACTAGAATTTGCGTGGACAGTATGTTGGAAAGTGAAATAATTAGGCTCTGGTAGGATTGATCAATTTCTTTGAAAATATTTAATAGGAGTGTGATATTTTTCTAATAATTTTACAGACGCAATTTTTAAACATGTTTTAAAAATGCACTTTTCACAAAAATTTAATTTCAGAATATTTGATTGGTTGATTGATTGATCGATTTATTATTAGGTTGATTAATAGTTTAAAGACGGATGAAATTGATTTCCTTGAATGATTCTGATTCACAATGTAATCTGGAGGTTCGGTCAAACTTCTTCCCCTCGGGATCTATATCCTAAATTATTTGAAAATTTCTCAATTATTTAAAAATCATCCTGAATTTGTTTAAAACCGTCCTAAATTATCTAAAAATTATCCTAATTATTTGAAAATAAATATCGTTAATTATTTGATAATTATCCTAGTATGAGAAATATCTTAATTTATCTAAAAATTATCCTTAATTATTAAAAAGTTATCCTAAATACTAAGTTATCCTAAATACTAAGTTATCCTAAATACTAAGTTATCCTAAATACTAAGTTATCCTAAATACTAAGTTATCCTAAATACTAAGTTATCCTAAATACTAAGTTATCCTAAATACTAAGTTATCCTAAATACTATGGAATCATCCTGAATTATTTTAACTATCCTAAATTATATGAAAGTTATTGTAAATCATTTCAATACTACCGTAAATTATCTAAAAAAATCAATTATTTGAAGATTATCCTAAACCATCTTAGAATTAATTATTTAAAAATTGGCCTAACTCATTTGAGAATGTATCCGAAATTATTTATCTTAAAAACAAAATTCTAAGAAATAAATTAAGATTGCAATAACAACCCCGAGCATGGGAAAAAAATATTTCAAAACTTTAGAGATAACCACAATAGTTTAATTTCTTATACCTGGAAGTGTAAATCAAAAATATTTGTCTCTACTGAAAAAAAACTAGATATAAATTAAACCTATTTAATAAAAAGAAATATTTTACCTTGACATCAAAAATATCTTCAAAAAGTACTCCGGCCATTTTTTCTAAAAAAAAAACAGGTACAATAGGAATATTTCAACTGAAATCTGAAAAGATCAAAGAATTTTTTAATCGTCAAAAATCTCAAGATATCGTTGATTGATTGATTGATGGTTCAGACGACTAATCTGTATGAGATATATCGCCCGGCAGTCTCAGAAGACCTGAAAATATAAAAACTAAAAGTACATGGTAATTTAAGAGACGAGCAATTATTCTTAGCTATCGACATGCCTTTCTAGATTATAACAAACATAATAATCATGATGATCTACCGCATCTTGATATTGACCTACCTGATAATCTTGACGACCTGCCCCCTCTTGAGTCCGAAGTATCTGGCTACGGGGTCTCCAGCCTGGATCCTCATCAACATGTTGTCCTTCAGCTTGTACCTGGAGACAACAAAAAATGTGTTTTTAAATTTTAATATATTTTTCCCTACGAACCTAGAATTACATTTATTATTATTCATATTAAGGGTCTGTCCTAGAGAACGCTTTTTGGACCCCCCCTCCTCTCAATTTTGTACATTATATTATTTTTCAACAAAATTAACAATATTTATTTTGTATTTTCAGGATTAGGTTAAGTTAAGACAATTTCTGGGCTGAGCGCTGCGGCTAAGACATGCTAGGGGGCCTGGAGCCGCGGCCTCATCTCCAATTTTGAACATGTGT